TATATATAGGGAAAGGATTTTGGAGTTTAAGCTTTGCTCCAGAGTAATAAAGCTTAATGCACAAATGGGAAATAAACAGACTGTGTGTAGCGCTGTCTGTCTCATAATGGCTATATATATTGAGTTAAAATGATGAAACGTGAACTTTCGGTAGGCTAGCGTGTATTCTTGTGGAACTCCATGCTATTTTTTCGTCATGTACAGAACAGCTTTAGAATGACTGTGGAAAATTACGTTTTTTTTAAATTTAGGTTTCCCATCTCATTATATCTTAAAAGGCTCTACGTTAAACATGCTAACAGAAATGCATGAGATAATATCATCAATGACGTCATCTTCGTTAATAGAACAAAGTTATTCTGTTTATGCGCTCGCATAGGTTAAAGGCCGAGTGCGCGGACCCCTCAACGTTTGTAGTAGCGTCCTAAACGCTTTAAGATCGGAAGTTATGAGGAGAAATTTCATTCAAAAATAATGTTACAGTTTTGTAAAAAAGGAAGCGCATGAAGGGACGCTGTTATCTGGATTATATATGCCAAGGTTTAGCTTATATTTCAAAGAAAGATGCAGTCAATTCTGTTGATATTTCCTCCATTACTGGGCGGAAGCCAGCGGTGGCCTGGCCATTGGTGCTAGCTAGAAGAACACCAATCGAGACCGTAGCCTATTTTAAACATAAAACACTTATTTTAAAAGAGATACACGAATCGGAAGTATCTTAATTTAAAGGACTAAACATGGTAATGTTTCACAATGCGCGCTTTCTCTAAAATACTTCGTTTCCCACAGTGAATGTTGACAATGATAAACTGCGTCGGGCAGGTTTGTAACAACTGTTTTTTAATTTAGATGGGATCGTCATAAGAGAACGTTGACTAGCAAAATTTCAGATGTAAATTTCTATGCATGATACTTCAATCGGTAAATTTTTCTGGCATCAACCTTGTCTGCTACTGACCCATCTAACACTATAGATGATTTTTTTTCTTGGCCGGTGAGCGGAAAAACAAAATGTTCTGCACTAGCGCACTTTACTAAGAGAAAAATTACTTCTTGGACGTGGTTGACGTTAGCGGTTATCAGCGTTATCACCGCCCTATAATTTGCGATCAATATAGTATATAGGTGTGTTGTGGAAATTAATGATAAAACACAGCGCACCAGGTCATCTACTGAAATAGCAACTCTGCCGTAAATAGAAAAGCTACGGGTCACAGCACTGTTATTGGTCGACATTTCCTTTGTCGCAAGTCCTTACTTAGCATGAAAGCCTCCTGTATTAAATTTGGCGATTAATTCCTATGAAATGATAATTTCATTGATAAATTCAGTAGAGTCAATTACGACAAGAACAAACACTTCCCACATGTAATTCCACTCCCCACATGAAAATATCAGTAGCTTACCATTGTCCATTTTTAAAACGCCGTAGAGACATTTGACATCCCCTAATGCCCGCTTTTGGACGAAATGAGTTAATCTAGAATATTGAATTTGGCTTGTATCCTAGAGGCTAAGGTGCTCTAAATCCGAGAATCAGACAATTTAAATATATTCAAGTGTTTTCTCCAGCAAAAATCCAAATAGAATAAAGAAAAAACAAACTGTAAAGCGGATCATGTTTTATCGAGATCCGAGCTTAGATATAAGCCAAACATCCCAGTCTGAGACATGCGACCTGGGATACAAGATATAGAATTTTTGACGTTTTCTTAGCAGTTCCTTATCTCAACAACATAGTAGTTTTCTTTGACAATTACATGCACGCGACGATTCACAAGGCACGTGGTTGCGAAAAAAACCTCTAGCGAAGGCTGCGGTCGTGCTGTGTGGGTATGCTGAAAGCATAGTCCAATCGTGAGCTTTTGCCAATGCGAGTTAGCTCTTTTCATCCCTTAGGATTCTCATAACACTATGCTTGTATGATTCCTTTTCCCAATAGGAAACGCCCCTTTAGAAAAGATTCTAGTTTGAGTCATGGAGCTTCGCTCGGGAGAAGGAGTTTCTGCAGTTCTGCTTCACGTTGGTAGCGTCTGCATCCTATCACCCCACCTAGCCCAGCATCGTCACGACCAGTCAGGCCAATTTCTGCGTAACGCTACCACGCCCACTATAGCCATTCATCTTGCGCCATCCATTGGCCCGCTTGCCGCTTGCTTAGTTTTACGCACCCCGATCCTCTTGTGGGTGATGCCCTATTCTGTGCAGTATAACTTTCCGTTTATCTTCTAGTAGGGATTATTCGGGAGTGAACCAAATCTCAGTTTGCGAGCTGCTTTGCTTTTACAAAAGGAACAAACTGAGCGGCGTATGATTGCGCCTGGCATCTGCTGTTGTCGACACATTCATACGAAAAACGTCACGCTTGCAAAACCGGATTCGTAGCGTGACAAGTAGAAAATCCGAGAAATAAGGCAGTACTGCCTGCTTGTCGGTAATGACTTTGATTGCATCACCCCGCATAAGGCTAATTTACTTGCGGCACCCATTACTGTGGCCGTGGACTTCCGGTCCTTGGATTCAATAATTTTGTCTTCGCGATTGAACCCATTTACGGCGGCGAATTACGTCAAATAGACCCTTCCGGTACGACCGCATAACGCAGACTTCAACCGAAAAAGCATCGGGAACTAATCAGCAAATCCTATAGGCTCTACAAGCGTCCCTGTGCGTAACCTCATAGTTGCCATGGCCTTACATATCAGGTATATAGGAACGCCCTGAATTAGCTTCCCAGAATAAGCGACCCGTAAGCCCAGACAAAACAAGACATCCATCGACATTATGATTCCACCGACCGATTTGTGCCAATACCAAGAGGAAGGCGAAATTCATACTTATTGGGACCCGACTATAATGCTTATGATAACAAAGCCAAACTCACTGAAACATGAAAAATATTTTATTTATCTTATTTACAAGTAGCCTGCGCTTTTTATAATTTGAAATTTAAATCTGCAAACGTCCGTTTTTATAAATTATTTGAAAACACTGATTTAGTAGGCATAGTTTGTAGGGATCGGACGCGCTGATGTGTAATATATGCCAGGGTGTTTGTGCACCAAAGAAAACGTCGCTTCCATTTTTGGGTTGGTGTGTGGTCGTAAGCCTAAAGTACTACGTCCTTTGCAATACAGAATAAAGGGGCTCGAAGGTACACAACATTTTCAAATCACATTCGAACATATTCTGCTCTAATTTCGAATAAGCATATTCATAATTTACCTACATTCAGGCCGCCTTCTCGTATTTTCCGGTCGCTCTTAACTTCTACTAAATCAACGCAGCCATGGTTCATCATGTTTATAAAAACACACGCGTTAATTCGAAGCAGCAAAAATTAAGGCACAAAATGTTTTTTTCTCGATTTTGTTTCGCTTCAAGGACCAAATGTTTTTTTTACTTATAGTTATTCGCCAATCATGCATTCGCTTTTACATTGTATCCTGTTACACTCGCCTGAAAGGAAGCTTTGGAACAGTTATAATCAGCGTCGGTTGCTGATCTGGTCCTAGCTCTATATGGGCACGAACGTCGCTCGCGTCGACAGTTTCTGGCAGTGTAAAGCACCTATGAGCCTGCCGAAAAATCGTGTAACCACAGTCCGGCCCGCAGTCTTCTGGGATTCCACGGCAATTTCCTACTTCTTCACGCTTCGCGGTTAGCATAACGTGTCGACCTTCGACAGAAACTAGAATATCCTCTGGCCGATACCATGGCATGCCACTTACGTGCCATTCCATACTTTGTTCCTGAAGTTTGAAGTTGACAATATGATTTTAAATTGATTAAAAGCTATTGTAAATGCAACATATGAATATGAAGCTCGTAAATAGAGTTCTTAGCTAGCGTAATTAAAATTTTTGTGAAAGCAACAAATTTGAAATCGATATGTAGGCTGTGAAGCGAAAGATCGCTAGAGTAGATCCTGTTATGCGTTTCATTCCACTTGCCCCAGATGTAAGCCGAATTTTAATATTGGAAAACAAGTTAAGGGTGTTTCTTTTAATTGGTAGTCTGAGTCTGCTTCGTGACGGCTGTGTACCCCATATATCAAGTAAATCTAACAGGATCACAGACAGTATCGATCCCAGTAACATCCGCAAATCACAGAAAATACAAAGCCACGTAAAACGTAAAGATATCCGTCTCGTGCCCGATAGAGCCTTCTCAGCTAGAAGGACAACCGTTGATCAGATCAAACCCACCCTTTCAACGCGGCGAGTTTTCAGGGCGTGATCAGCTGCCTCTTGCTGTTGCATTAATGCTCTGAAGAACGGATTAGAGGAAACGACATCTAGCGCCCCAGAAGGTGAAGCACCGAAATATTCCGGGATCGTTGGCGTCATTTGCCAGTATGCCGAGGAACTATCACAATATGGCTGTGGATATGGCGGAGGCCTCATTGAAGGATAGGAAATATCCTGAGGGGAATACGTTTGCCATTGCGCATATTGATTGGCCATTGGAATTTGGCCAGACAATGCGGGCGACACAGGTCCTTGCTGCTGCTGCTGCTGCTGCTGCTGCTGCTGCTGCTGTTGTTGTTGTTGTTGCAGCATCTGCTGTGCCATATTCATCATGGCAGCATGTGTTGGTCCTTGAGAAGGATGTGTAGCATCTTGAAGCGGCCCGGGCGGCTCTCTCCCGGACGGATGTGCGCCAGGACGCATCCAAACCATAGGGTTCCGATTGAACGAACGATACTGCCGGTACATTAAAGACTTGACAAACCGTTATATAATTTTGAAAAGGTCACGCTGTGTTTCAATACAGTGCGAGCTCGCACCGCGCAATCTTTCCAAATCACTTCGTTTAGATCCGTGATCGACTCGTGTCTTAAAGCTAACTAGTATCCGCAAAATCGCTTTTTCGCCTACATAACGTTGTCAGCAGTGATATGGTGGCAAAGCTACTGGCTACACGCAGCGTCAATATGGTTCCGTGTAAGTTTTTGTAAATAAATGTATATTCATACCACAACTGTCAAAGATTAGGGCCTAAGCCGCGTTCCGGATGCATCGATTTCCACGTTGGACGCCACAATGGTACATATTACAGTCTTACCAACAACGCGAAACGTTCAGAGTGTTCCGTTGACTTTTGAGTTCTTGAAAATTGAATATGGCTTTTCCTGAATATTGACAAGTGCATGAAAACGCGCGCATCTGCGCTGTCAGATCTTTGCTGGATGGATCGTTATACGAAATAAAAAAAATAGATTCATAAATTACTTATGGACGAAAAAACAACATGCTTCCGATTACAAATAATAACGTGCGCCAGTTTTGCATAATTTCTACTTAATGCCAGTCACTCTCGTTTTCTTATTTTTTTACTTAACTGACTGTATGCTCAATTTAATGGACCACCGTCGACTCCGACAGGCACTTTGCTATATCTATCTTTACAACTTCATACATATATGGTATCGTGCTCAAAATTGACTTTTAATCTTGCTTCGACTACAGCCTTTGTTGAATTTCTAAAGAGGACGACCTATTTGTAGGTAACTGCACATCAGCAGCTTTGTAAGAGTACCTTCAACACGTATCTCTTCGATTCTTCGGTCTCCAATTAACTGCTATTCCGTTTAAAAAACTTGCGACTCCGAGTATTTGTGTTGACGGCGGATGGCCCTTGCCTCGCATATTCCTTTGGTGGACTTGAGGGGTTGAGCTAACCTTTGTCGTGGGGCGGCAGGGGTGTCATGGTAAGGCCATGGTAAGTGCGACGACCAGCGCAAAAATAATCCCTTTCCCTCTCACTTCAAATACTGCTACCGGCTGTGCCCGCTACCACTAAAACAACCACCGCCGAAGATTTGTGGATTATAATCCATTTTAATTCGATTCGGCATACACTCAATCAGACCTAGTGCAAGACGAAGCTCGTTGACGGGACAGAGAAAAGAGGCAGAGAACCGGCAAGGGCAAAAAGATGGAGAACGGCTCACAGACTGCCACAATAAAGTCGTGACGGCTGTTTAGCTTGAAATTGACAAACGGTCACGAAAACAGTGTCGAAGTGACGAAGCAGGAATTGAGCCTCTAAAAGCGTGTCTACAGACCTGCAACACGTAATCTACGTGTTCCGTGGACCTAAGTGATTTAAATATTTTTAATTTATCACTTCAGTAGTTTCAAGGACTAAATATCATTTGGCTTATATCACCTATAACTGATTTAAGTGTTTAATACGACATTAAAAACAACTGAGCCGAATAAACACAAACACTAACATATATGTATCTGTCTTGTACGTTACGCATTCAGGTTGATATCGTTTAGAATAATCTGTCGACATCTCGAAAGGGCCGAAAAAACTTCAATGAATATGGTATTTGGCAACGATTTCGAGGTTACTTCGTCCGGATGGGGACAGCAATGTGATGACAATGAAAAGTCCGCTGAATTATTTGTATGGCCAATAGGATTTAAGGGTCATTTGGAAAGATGGTTGGTCACGCTATTTTAATCCACGATCGACAAGATGAAAGATATCTAAGAAACTATCGAATTTTTAGCAAGCGTCTGCATGTGGACGAGGTGCTTGACAGTTCGTTTTACGTTTGTTCAGTCAAAGAATAAGTATACCGTCATCTACAATATACACATATATCAGCTAAAAAACATTCTCTATTGAACATACTATTGAAGCAGACAACCGCATTAATAGCAGTGTTTTAGGGGCTGTATAAGTTGAAAATTAATAATATCAATCTGTAGTGATCAAGCAGTAAGTGTCCAAGGTCAAAGTTCGAGCTAGTCGAGTATAAGGAGGAACACCTGCTACCCTCGTAGTTGATTCGAGGAAAATTGCCAACCAGATGGTAATGAAATGAGTAACTTGTAACAAAGTGCTTTAGTGAAAAGGCAGCATGTGTGTAGTACTACCATTGTATAAACCGTAAAGTGCTTTATTAATTTTCTTATATTAAATGTTTTTCCGAATACCATATCCAAAGGGCAGGTACCTTACGCTATAGCAATAATAATAATAATAAGCCATATAGCATTTCCCGTTGTCCTTCAGTAGCAAAAAAAAACCGTTCGAAATAGTAGCTGATCAATTCGCCAGTACCCTTAATCAAAGCAATGGCCGAACTATCTTTTTAAGTATAGGATATTTCCCTGCCTTTCTGTTACGTCAATAAGACACCAATGATGTTCATGGTTCTTCTAGAAAAGACAATCCGTTTGAGCTTTACTCACTGGGTCCAAATGTACATGTGTGTATGCCACCTATACAAATTCACTGACATGTAATAAAGAGTATGCAAGAAGTTGCCGGACGTAAAATTCTAAACGTAGAGGTATATTGCGAAACAAAAGCGAGTTCCTGCGGGTTTTTTTTTAAGTTTCTATGTTAGCCCCGCCCAAGACGGTTTAATTTGCACTATAAAAGAAAACAATGTTAAACAAATTTCCTCCCAGGCACCGCTTACACAATTGGATTCTTTAGCGTAGCTTTGAATCATAGCTTGGCGTTGTTTAACGTCCATGTCACCAATATTGTCTGCCTTTCCCAATATTGTCCTTCAGGTCGGTGTTTTTCTTATAGACTTTGTTCTTCCCATAACTCCAGAGAAAAAACACCGAAAGGAACCGAATTACAGGACCTGGACGGTCAATCGATGTCACATCGCTGCGACATCAGCTGGCAAAACAGGATTTCAAGCAGACTGATTGCTTTTAGCGCTGTGTGGCAGGATGACCCATCTTGTTGAAACTAAAGCTTGTTTTCACCTAGCAGCCTCATTTCGGGCCGCAAAAAAGTTTCCACCATTTTACGTTAGACTCGCCATCCACTACTGCCATCTCTCTACCGTCACTTTCGAAAAAAAAAGAAGTTTAGTGGGACAATTACTGAACAAGCCGATCCACATTATAATTTTTTATACACTTTTTATAATTGAAACACTCACTCTTGGATTTTCTGAGCCTTAAATGTGACCACTTTATTTACCTACATAACGATCTAACTGCAAATGTGCTTCATTAGAAAAGACCATGTGATCGAGGAAGCTGCTAGCATGTGCATTGCGTTTCAGCATCTGATAGGCAAAAAAAAAAAAGACGCCTATGATAATTTTGAATCTTTTATGGTTAAGTTAGTTGTACCTTGTCATGATAGAGATGATGCCCTTGTTTTACAGTAAATCGAAGTGATCGTCGACAGGCCATAGATAGGCATCGACATTACTGTTTGCTACGGCGATGTTATGACCTGCTCGTTCGGTTCGTTATTATCCTGACCTCCGTAAATAGGCCCCTCTGTCTACGTCGTTTTAATTAATCGCATCAGCGTCTCTCATGGTTACGTCATTGTTCTATGCGCAGAATTTCGATTTTGATCAATCGTTTCTGTATAGAGACAGACGTTTTTTCGCACCATAGTGTTCCATCAACCCGAGTTATTTTGTTTAGACTTCACAGATGACGAAAGAGAGGGACGGGACCGCCTGACAGCTTTCTGGCCATCTGGAAATCGGGTCGATCTCTAGTATACGTCATGCATATTTTTATCGAGATCAAAGCCCTTGTGTAGTTTGAATGTTTATATTTTTCGACATAATTAATACCACTGAATGTTTTCTACGTTCAGGACATATGTGTCTATAAAATAATAAAGGAAAAACGTAACAGTAGAATGACCGAATAAAGTAATATTTTTTTTATAACAGATGCAAGATACGTGTCAGCCGAATGTCATGATGCTCTGATCACTGTTCAATTTTTTCCATGTCCAAGTTCGGGCGCAGATTTTTGGCGCACTTTATCAAATCTGTCCACCAGCAATCTATCTATTGCCTTAAGTGTAATTTAGAGCCCTCTATATATATATATATATATATATATATATATACATATACATATACATAGGTCAACATGTAGCTGTTGTCAAAAGCTGTTGCGGAAAGAGAGCGGCCGCTGCCGCCGCAGAGATGAAAAAAATTATAGCAGTGCTTTCACAAAACTCTCCTGTTACGTAATATATATTAGCTCGTTATAATTGATTTAGTTTCTAGAAAATATCAAGTAAAGATATCTATTGCGTTCGCCGATATAGCTCGAAAACGTGAAGTTATATAGCCCCCGAGAGTGACTTATGTGTGCCACTAATTATTTCGTCAAACATTTAACAAAGCTATACAAAAGTAAAATGTTATCTCTTTTTTAAAAATGATGTAAACACGGCTAGAAAAGATGACACTTCATAATTATTTTCCGTCAAGTTCACGTATAACGTTTAATGGCCTAAGTAAAGGCGGATTTAAGAGTTGAATTCTGTTTAAACAGTGAGAGGCTTAGTTGCTATGGGCGTACCGTGTTTCAAAGCAACTTCAACGTACTGAACCGTATGTAACCGTCGTGCCTATGCACGGTAACGGTATACCTAATGTTCGTTGGTAAATTCTGACCCTTAATTGTGATTGGCACCAACGTATACATCGCGATCGAGTGCGCACGTGGAAAAACTAATTTTATCCAATATAGTTATTAACGTTTTATCCAAAAAACACCTTGATAATAACAACGATTTGATGCCTTAGTTTTATTTATTTAACATATATACGCGTGAATGTATTAGTACTAAGCTAAATTGCCCTCTCAAAACAGGTGGTTTTATCTCTAGACTCCTGCACATGTCTAACAAAAGAAAAAAAAAACTTCGAAGTTTTATCGCGTTAGACTTTTAAGTTAACATTCTCTTTCTGCTTTAGCCCTATTTTACTATATATGCCTGTCATAGCGTATTAATATTATGTACCTGTCTATTTTTGAGTGAGATGACGAAAAAAATTAAGGCCTGTCGCCTTTGTTTGTTGGCAGAATCATGAGAAAACTTTCGGTAAATGTGTAATTCCTCTAAAAGTGTACAGTATGGTAATTGTTAACTGGATTCAACAGTCGTTTGTCATAGCAGCGATACTCCGTATAGTAGTTATGCTATA